TTGATGTATGTTTTATGACCCAGAATATGGAAATTTTGGTGAATGTCCCTGTGCCCTTAAAAATAATATATATTCTGTTGTTTTGAGGAGAAGTGGTCTATAAATGTTGATCATTGGTGTAGGTCTTCTAATACTTTCTGTCCTTGTTCCATCAATTACTGAGAGAGGAGTGTTGGAATCTCTGTGACTATGGGTTTGTCTGTTTTTACTTTCTAGTTTCATCAATTTTGCTTCCTATATTTCAAAGTTATTTTGTTAGGTGGACACATATTTAGGATTGTTACATCTTCTTGGCTACTTAACACCTTTATCATTATGTAATATGGATTTTCAGTCCTGGTACTGTGCCTTGTTCTGAGGTCTACCGTGTGTGATAAAACTATAGCCATTCTACTTTTCTTTAGATTAATGTTTACAATATATGTTTTTTCCATCTTTTACTTTTGGCCTATTTGTATCTTTATATTTAAAATGGATTTCTTTTAGACAATATATAGTAGGATCTTGTTTTATCCAATCTGATAATCTTTTAATTTGTATGTTTTGAACATTTTCATTCATTGTAGTTATCCATATGTTTAGATAAAAATCTGCCATCTTGCAAACTGTTTTCTATTTGTTCTATCTGCTCTTTGTTCCTTTTATACTTTCTACTTCTGCTTGCTTTTGGGTTAAAGATTTACGATTCAATTTTATCTCCATTACTGGTTTATTACTTAACCCCATTTTTTTTTTTAAAGATTTTATTTATTTATTTGACAGAGAGAGATAGCGAGAGCAGGAACACAAGCAGGGGGAATGGGAGAGGGAGAAGCAGGCTTCTTGCCGAGCAGGGAGCCCGATGTGGGACTCGATCCCAGGACCCTGAGATCATGACCTGAGCCGAAGGCAGACGCTCAACAACTGAGCCACCCAGGCACCCACTTAACCCCATTTTTAAAAAAAAGGTTAGTAATTGTTTAAAATTTATAGTGTTTGGCTTTAATTAATACTTCAAATAGTATTATACTTTTTCTCATATAGTATAAGAATCTTACAGCAGTATACTCCAAATATATCCCCCTCATCTTTTGTGTTTTCATATATTTTATTTTTATATGTATTATAAATCCACAATATATTGCTATTATTTTGTATTTAGACAATTGTCTTTAAGGATGATTAAAAATAAGATAATAAGTACTTTTTAAAAAGATCTTATTTATTTATTTGACAGACAGAGAGCACAAGCTGGGGAGAGGGGCAGAGGGAGAGGGAGAAGCAGGCTTTCAGCTGAGCAGGGAGCCTGACGCGGGACTCAATCCCAAGACCCCAGGATCATGACATGAGCCAAAGGCAGATGCTTAACTAAGGTACCCAGATGCCTCAAGACAATAAGTACTTTTTATGTTTATTTTTATTTTAACCGTTTTCAGAGATCTTCAGTTCTTTGTATAGATCAGTTTCCATCTGGTGTTCTAGTCCCTCTGCCTGATGAATTTCCTACAGCATTTATTGTAGTATAGTCTATTAATGAATTCCCTCAGCTTTTGTAAAAAAAAAAGAAGTTTTTCCTTTTTTTTTTTTTTTTTTTAAGATTCATTTATTTGAGTGAGAGACAGCGTGAGTAGGGAGAAGGGCAGAGGGAGAGAATCTTCAAGCAGACTCTTTGCTGACCACGGAATCTGACACAGGCTAGATCCCACACCCATGAGATCATGATCTGAACCGAAACCAAGAGTTGGATGCTTCATCAACTCAGCTACCCAGGTGCCCCAAGTTTTTCCTTTTTGAATGTTATTTTCACTGGCATAGGATTCTGGATTGGCAGTTTTTAAAATCTCAGTACTTTATTAATGTCCTTCCATTGTTACATGCCTTACATAGGGCAGGTCTACTGTAATTCATATTTTTGTTATCTGTATGTAATGTGAATTTTTCCATTTACTGCCTTCAAGATTTTCTTTTTATCTTTGTTTTTCCAGCAGTTTCAATCTGTTATTTGTTTTTAAAAATCCCACTTGGAGCCTTCTGAGTTCTGTGAATTTTCCAGTTTGATACCTCCCATTTTATCAAGAGAATTCTTAGCAGTTATCTCTTTAAATATTTTGTCTGTCCCAGTGTTCCTTTCTTCTTCTGAGATGCCAATTTATTCCCAGCTCTTGCTTGTGCATGTGCACATATGTGTGTGTGTAACTTTATTCTTGTCCTTCAATTTGGGTAGTTCCTATCTCCCTATATCCAAGTTCACTGATTCTTTCTTCATCTGTCAAGTTTTACTGATGAGCCCAAAGGCATTCTTGATCTGTTACTGTTTTTTTCTTCCAGCATTTCTATTTTATTTGTTCTTATGGTTTCCATCTATCTGTGAAATTCCCCATGTGCTCAAGCATGTTGTCCACATTTTCCATTAGACCTTTTAACATATTAATCATAGACATTCCTTATTTGATAGTACAAACATCTGAGTCATCTGAGTCATCTTTGTGTCTGGTTCTGTTGAGTGCTTTGTCTTTTGATAAAGGGTTGATTTTTCTTGCTTTTTATGTCCTATAATTTTTAAATATTGTTTTTTTTAATTATTCTAGTATAGTTGAAATACAATGTTATATTAGTTTTAGGGGTACAACATGGTGATCCAACAATTCTATATATTACTCAATGCTCATCATGATAAGTGTAGTCACCATACAAAATTATTACAATATTATTGACTATATTCTCTATGCTGTACTTTTAATCTCTGTGACTTATTTATTAACTGGAAGTCTGTTTCTCTTACCTTTACCTATTTCACCCATCCCCTACACAACACTCCCCTCTAGAAATCACCAGTTCCTTCTTTGTATCTATGAGTCTGTTTCTGTTTTCTTGTTTGTTCATTTGTTTTGTTTTTCAGATTCCACATATAAGTAAAATTATATAGTATTTTTCTTCCTATGACTTATTTCACTTAGCATAATACCGTCTAGGTGTATCCATGTTGTCACAAATGGCAAAAAAATCTCATTCTTTTTTATGGCTAATATTCCATCACACACACACATACACACACATCACATTACATCACATCTTCTTTATCCATTCATCTATCAGGGGACACTTAGGTTGCTTCTATATCTTGGCTATTATAAATAATGCTACAATAAACATAGCAGTACATGTACCTTTCAAGTTAATGTTTCCATTTTTTTTTAAGGTAAATACCCAGTAGTGGAATTATTGGATAGTATGATATTTCTATTTTTAATTTTTTGAGGAACCTCATACTGTTTTCCATGGTGGCTGCACCAATGTACATTCCCATCAACTGTGCATGAAGGTTCCCTTTTCTCTACATCCTTGCCAACATTTATTTTTTGTGTTTTTGATACTAGCCATTGTGACAGGTGTGAGTTATTATGGTTTTGATTTGCATTTCCCTGATGATTAGTGATGTTGAGCATCTTTTCATGTGCCTGTTGGCCATCTCTAAGTCTTCTTGGAAAAGTATCTAATCAGATCCTTGGCCTTTTTATAATGATTGTTTATTTTTGGTGTTGTTATGTTTTGGATATTAATCTCTTATTGAATGTATCATTTGCAAATATCTTCTCCCATTTGGTAGGTTGCTTTTTTGTTTTTTGATAGTTTCCTTTGCCATGCAAGAGCTTTTAATTTTGGTGTAGTCCCATTTATTTTTGCCTCCTCCTGTCTGAGGAGACACATCCATAAATATATTGCTAAGACCAATGTCCAAGAAATTACTGCCTATATTTTCTTTTAGGAGTTTATGGCTTCAGTTCTCACATTTAGGTCATTAATCCATTTTGAGTTTATTTTTATGTATGTGTAAGAAAGTGATCCAGTTTTCCCAACACCATTTATTGAAAAAAACTTTTTGTCATTGTATATTCTTTCCCCCTTGTTATCATAGATGAATTGACCATATAAGTATGGATTTATTTCTGGGCTCTTACATCCTGTTCCATTGACTTATGTGACTATTTTTTGTGCTAGTACCATACTGTTTTGATTACTGTAACTTTGTAGTGTATCTTAAAATCTGGGATTGTGATACCTCCAGCTTTGTTTTTCTTTCTCAAGGTTGCTTTGGCTATTTAGGGTCTCTTGTGGTTCTCTAAGAATTTTAGGATTATTTGTTCTAGTTCTGTTGTCTTATAATTGTTTACAATGAATGCTGGACATCATGTGTAAAATAGTAAAAATGGAGGTAAATAGTATTTATGGCTGAAAATGTGCATGACTCTTCTTTTGTCAGAAAATGTACAGGTCTGAGTTAATTTAGTCAGGAGTCATCTTATTTAGGTTTTATTGTTATGGTTACCTTCAGTACAGCACTGGCTTCAAATCCCTCTGGCATTACCTTGTGCTTAATTTGAAGGATGGGTTGCTCTACTCTTAGCTTTTGACCTCTCTATTCATAGTCTTTACCTCTCCTCCACCAGTGGACACTGCTAATATTTGATACTTAGTGCTTGCTAGCTTGCTGTGGGGCAGGGGATTCCCCGTTGTCTTGATCCAGCCTTAGCTCAGATAAGCCCTATGTCCCTGAATCTTGGTGAATGGGCTTTCTCAGTGATACCAACCCTCCCCTCAGTGATACGATGCCTTTAGTGGCCAGGGTCAGGATGACTTCCTGTTCTCCCCCATGATTAGGGGGGTTTCCTATTTCCTCTCCTGCAGTCATAATGGGTCTTCATCTGAGGACAGTTTTACTACCCTCCCCTAGTGACTTATTGGTGTTTGTTCCACAGGGAAGGAGAGTCAGGCAAGGTTTTGTGTTTTTCTTAAAGCATCAGCTACTCTCCTTCTCCAGGCCTGTACTACTCAAGAAGGCTTTCTCTAGTCCCTTGCCCCATGCTCAATTCTTCTCTTAGGCACCCTGTGAGGTCCAGAGAGAAAAGCCTATGAGTGGATGCAAACTCCCCCGTTAACAGCTTCCAGGGGTTCTAATTTCTCTGTTATCCCACATTCAGTTTTTACCAATTTGTTAAAATTTTTCACTGGATTTTTCTTACCTGTTATTTTAAGGAGTTTGTCATCTCTTTCTTCTGTGTTTTGCCAAAGGTATATTTGCATCCTGTCTTTCCTTGAAGGGGTCTGTCTTTTCATACATTTCAGAAGATCTGGTTGCAATGTAACTTAGGATCTCTGGTGGGTTTAAGAAAAATTATGATTTTGTAGATCATGCAGTTTTTTCTTGTTCAAAGGGTAGTATGACGCTCTTCCTAGCCTTCTCCATCCTAAGCAAAATTGAGATTCTCTAGTAGTTTGTTGTTGTTTTGAATGTCACAAGCTGGCCCTAAAATTTATATAAAAATGAAAAAAATCAAGAATTGCCAAAACGTTCTTGAAGACCAATAAGCTGATGATAAACAAAACAGTGAATTACTGGTGCAAAGGCAGACAAATAAACCAATGGGACAGAATAGAAGTCCAGAACAGATCCATAGAAACATAGACATTTAATTTACAACAAAGGTGGTACTGCAGAAAAGTAGAGGAAAAAGACAATCCCAGTGGACAATTAGATAACCACAAGGAAAAAAAAAAACAAAACACAAAATACTTAAAGGCTACCTCACCTAATAACCAAAAAATAATTCCAGGTGGATTGTAGAACTAAATGTATAAGGCAAAACAATGATAAAACTTCTAGAAATTAATACAGGATAATATCTTCATGACCTTGGGGCACTCCACAAAAATCAATAATCATAAAGTAAAATAATTTGAATTTGTTAAAATTAAGATTATTTGATTGTCAAAAGGACACCATTAGGAGAGTGAAAGACAAATCATAATAAAGTGGGAAAGACATCTGCAACATAGAGCTGACAAGGATTCATAAAACACTCCAACAACATAATAGAAAAATGGTCAAGAGATTTGACTGGACAGCACACAAAAGAGGAAACCTAATTAGCCAATAAATATATGTAAAGGTACTCAACTTCATTTATAACCAGGGAAATGCAAGTTAAAACCACAATGAGATACCACTAAACAACTACCAATAATTCCACTCCCAGAAATAACTCAACAGAAATTTAAGTATGGAATACCAAGAAAATATATACAAGAATGCTCAGAGCAGCACCATTTGTAAGAATAAAACATTGAAATCAATCCAAATATCCATCTACAGTGGAACAGGCAAGTTGGGTATATTCCAACAACATAATATTCTACAGCAAATAATATGAATAATTGCTTTATGCAACAGTAGACGTGGAGCTCAGAAACAAGACAGAGCAGTTAATATAGGGCAAAATAAAAGCAATTAATATACAGCAAAATACTGTATAATTCCATTTAATATAAACTGCAAAAAATAGGCAAAACTATAATGTTGAAGGGTACAAGCTTAGGTCTTATAACATCAGTATATGGTTAACTTTGTAAGGGGAGAGGGAAGCAATTGTGAGAGAAAATACTGAAGCTTCTGTGATGTTGGTATTGGTTTACTTCTTACCTGGTTGGTAGTTACATAGGTGTCCACTTTGTAGACAACTGACCTATATATTTATGTCTCCCATGCTTTACTGTGTGTGTGTATATATATATATATATATATATATATATATATATATATATATATATAGTATACTTCATTATAACCTCCTCCTCTCCCCCAGAAAGCTTCTGGCCATTGGTGAACTTATTTTTTTTATTAGAAGTGTTTCCAATGGAGAGATGCAAGTATCTGAACTCTAATGTACTCTTTGGTTCTGATTTTCTAGGATTCTAGAACGATATTTGGTATGTTTTTTGGAGTGTGGTGACTGGCGGGGGGGAGGTTTCTTCCCCTGTTTGGAACTGAGATACACAGAATTCAGATAAAGGTAAATAATATTACTATATTACTGACAAAAAGCTGGATTAGAGGATATGTGACCATAGTGGGCTACCAAATGCCCAACCCCGAAATTAGATGGACTTGCCCACCCAAGTCCAAGGCAGAGATGGACAGGTTTCCCTGTAGCCTGCCTCAGAAAGCTCAGGATTTGGCTAAAATCAAAGAAATGCAGACAGGAAGAAATTTACTCATGAGATGCGTCTCTCCTCCTTCCCTGGCATGGGGTGGGGCAGCTTGTCTTCACCTTCTGGAGAGTGGAATGGAAATTCTCTAAACTCTATGGAAATGTGAAGAATAAGGAATAAATATTACCCCTAACAACAGGCAGACTAGCTGTGCTTGACAGTCTATCTTTAAAGTCAGCTCTTTGAAGCTTAGCAAAGGCTGCCATAGGCTAAATTTTAGAACAAGTTTCATTCTTGCTCTTAGAGCTACTTTTTCTTCTTCTACTTATGAACCTGCATATATACTCCAACCACCATCTTTTCAGTGGCTTTCCTGGAAGCATCTGCAGAGACTTGTGGGCAAGGGTGATTTTACATGTAGCTCTTTTCTAAGTCATGTATTTATGAGAAAAAAAATGATCTTTCCCATTTCTCTATGAGGTGTATTAAATTGGCACACAACCTTTAGTGTCTCTGGAGCTTATTTAAATCATTCTTTTTCTAGGTAAAGTTAAGCCTGGTTCAAGTACCTGCTTTTTGGTATTTAGAAGTGCTCAATGATTATTTACATTAGCCTTCTCTCAAAAAAATGATAAAAACAGAAATATATATAAAGTCATTTCCTCCTCACAGTGATTAAGGTTGATTACTGTGTATTCACAAATACTTTTATTCATGATTTTAATTAGCATGGATAATTTGGCCCAAGTCATTTCAGTTCAGGCACAGTAGCACGTTTGTTTTATTTAATTAAACTTTTATTTTTATTTTGAGGTAATTGTAGATTCACATGCAGTTGTAAGAAATAATGCAGATTCCATTGTGCCCTTTTACCCAATTTCCTCCAATAACAACTTGCAAAACTATAGTACAATAGCTCCCAAGATATTGACACTGACACAGTCAAAATACAGAACACATTTCCATCATCACAAGGATTCCTTATGTTGCCCTTTTATAGCCACACATAATTCTCTTCCCTGCAACCCTCCCCCCTTAAATTCTGAAAACCACTAATCTATTCTCCATTTCTATAATTTTTGTTATTTCAAGAATGTTCCATAAATAGAACCATATGGTATAAAAAATTTTAGGACTGGCTTTTTCATCGGCATAATTCTCCGGAATTCATCCACATTGTTACACGTATCCATAGTTTGTTCTTTTGCACTGCTGAGTAGTATTCCATGGTATGCATATATCACAGTTCGTTTGACTATTTGCCCACTGAAAAACTCTGCGTTGCTTTTGGCTATTACAAACAAAACCTCCATAAACACTCACATAGTTTTTTTTATGTGAACATAAGTGTGTGAAAACATGTTTATAATGACAGGTAACTCTTTGCCGAATTTTCTGGCTATTTAAGCCAGAGACAAAGCAAAAGATGTGAAGGTATTTGCTAAAGGTCATAGACTGCTTCTTTATCAACTAATGGTTCTTACAAGTACTTGCAGCTTTATAACTATCTTGCTACCTGACCTTGGAAAGCCCCCTGAATTTCTCTGAGCCTCAACTAGACAAGATAAATGTTTTTCAAAGTGTACCATTTGAAACACGAACTCCATGAAATGCTCCTATAAGGGGAGAGGGGAGGGTTTCACAGTGCAGTAAGTTTGAGGGAAATGCTTAATACCATATTTCTCTTTTGAAATAAATGAATACTCTTTAGTGTAAAAAAGGAAGGATCCAGTATCCCAGTGCCCAAGTTCAAACTCCAGTTCCAGCGCTTGCTGGAACAGTAACCTTCAGCAAGACACTTAACACTCCCATACCTCAGTTTTCTCATTTCTATAAAGTGGAGACAACAACAGTGCCCCACTCATATGAATGGAAGATTAACTATAATAACACAAGAAAACACTTCATAAATTGTTACCTATTATTCTATTTCCATCATAATCAGAATCATCAAAATCAGTATAATCTTGTTAAAAATACACATGTCCCAGCCCCACCCCTGCAGATTATATTCAGTAAGTCTAGGATAAAGCCTGGTCCAGATGAAGCAGAGGTTTATTTATATTAAGAATGTGTCCAAGATAGTCCAAGGCAAGATTTAAATCTAGACCAAACTGACTGATGGAGAGTTGTCATACTTACATCAGCACACAAATTTAGTAAATCCTTTAAATGACTAACTCTGTAATCCCCCCAAAAGAGCACAGTTCTTTCCTCAATGGAAGGCTGGGCTTCTAACACAAACTCATGATTCCCCAAAGGGTCGTTCATTAAAATAAAACACATTTCTGTGCAGTTGGTACACATCAGCTTTCAAAAAAATTCCTAAATGTAGCAGTTAGCATTGATGTATGAAAATTTTATTTGTGAGTCACTGCTTAGCAAATCAAATCCGAAAATAAGACATTTCTTTAGAAATACAAGAAAACAACTATGATTGCTATTATTCCTGTAGGTTTCATCACCACACTGCTATTTCCAAAAGTCGTCTTACTGTTAAGCACCAGGTAAATTTCCAGAACATCTGGGGAACTCACTCTAGAGGTGGTGGCAATCTTTTTACCACTTCTGCAGCAATCCTCAGGTAAGCTTTGGCCTGGAAAAGAAGAGACTCATTTGTTCTGTATTTCTCCCCAGCAGACATCAAATGACTCACGAACTATTTGCCAGAGCGGTCTCTGGAACTGAAGAGTGAAAAGGCTGAGTGAGCTGAGGAAATTCAGCAGTGAGAGAATGCTGTTGCATACACCGCAGGTGTGACAGGGAAGACAGGATTTCAGGTTATTTCGGGGGCAAACACTTAGAAGGGGACTTCCTGAAAAAATATTTAATACCAGCAATCACTGTTTTTATGCTCTAATTCCCATGTCAGCAAATCAGCAATCCAGTCTAGTTGTAGAAAAATTATATCCTCCTCTTCTGACAAATTGATATCTTGAGTTAGCTTTATCTTCGGAAAGCATCTTCTTTATCTCTCTGAGAATGGCATCCAGTACCAGCAGTGAGCGCCTCATAGGCTTCTTCACCTGCTGAATTTTGGGTACCAGGCAAGAATTCCTGGGATCAGTTGTTACACTCTTCACCTGTGGGATCCCCAGTGCAGCCAAATACTAAGAGCAACCCCCAAGCCACTGTGGGCCACAAACTAAGCCAATGCTTACATGGTCCAGTCAGAACAATGCTCAGGACATTTGCATCTTAAAAGTTTTAAATAATTGCAATGCAAATATTATTTATTTCCCCTATCTCATCTATAAAAAGTAACTGTAAGACACAATAGTAAGATCTTCTAAAACCATTAATTTATATACTTAAAGAGTTATAAATATACTACCACCACCACCACCACTACAACTACATCTACTATGACTGATAATAGCTAAAATTTACTTGAGTGCTTAATATTTACCAAGTATTGTTTCATTTAAACTCACAGCTACCCTAAGGGATAAATTCTGTCACTAACCCCACTTTATAGATAAGGAAACCAAGAACCAGAAAGGTGAGTGGTCTTACCCAAAGCATTACAGCTAATATAGGATGAGCTGGTCTTTGAACCTAGGCTGACCAACTCTGACTCTGCATGCTAAAAGAACTATTTGAGGTTCATTTACCCAGACTTGAAGAAGTGTTTTAAGTGTGTTTCACACATTTTCACTTTTAAAAACCATGCTTGAGCCCTAACAGCTGAATTATGCTTTATTCTACCAGAAAAGAGCTAAAATCTTACCTATGAGTTCATTAAAAAAAAAAAAAGAATAGTTTTCAAAATATGAATAAAGCCTTATTTTTTTTATCAAGTACCTACTCTACCAAGTACTTTGCATAAGTAATCTCACTTATGTAAAACAAGCATCATCAACTCAACTTGGATAAAGCAAACAACTGGGAGTTGTTTGCTCAAGGTCACAAAGTCAGTAAGTTGGAAAACATTCAAACCTGGGTCCACCTAACTCCAAAGCCTAGATCCTTCTACTACATATTAAACAGTAAGTCCAAAGTACAAGCAATTTTAATCATAATGCTTTTATCCAAAAAATGGTTTCACAGGGCGCCTGGGTGGCTCAGTTGTTAAGCATCTGCCTTCGGCTCAGGTCATGGTCCCAGGGTCCTGGGATCGAGCCCTGCATCGGGCTTCCTGCTCAGCGGGAAGCCTGCTTCTCCTTCTCCCGCTCCCCCTGCTTGTGTTCCCTCTCTCGCTGTGTCTCTCTCTGTCAAATAAATAAATAAAATCTTTAAAAAAAAAAAATGGTTTCACTCTCTGTTATAGTTAACAGAAACAACAGTTTTGTTTAAAAATGGAAATAATATATACTTCATAAATAAATACTTCTCTTAAATCTAGTGTGCTGATTTTTACCCATGCATCTTTGTAAATACCTTTTATCTCCTAGTAGCTTTTCTGAGTGTTTAAGCCTAAAATTTTTGTGATGAAAAACGTAAAGTTCACTAAAGCAAGCTGAGAGAAGGCCATCAATCTATCATCTTTAAATTCTTACTTATGTTAAATTAGAGACATAAACCTATCAGACTACACAAAATATTGAATGATTCCAGAATAATCAAATTTGCTACATTTAACCTCTGCTTTTTTTTTTTTTTAAAGATTTTATTTATTTGACAGAGAGAGACACAGAGAGAGAGGGAACACAAGCAGGGGGAGTGGGAGAGGGAGAAGCAGGCTTCCTGTGGAGCAGAGAGCCCGATGTGGGGCTCGATCCCAGGACCCTGGGATCATGACCTGAGCTGAAGGCAAACGCTTAACAACTGAGCCACCCAGGCACCCCTTAACCTCTGCTTTTTAATGAACTATCTCCAAGCTTAAACTTTCAATATATCACACTCGAAGTACTGGTTAGATTGCCATTTGCAAAGAAACCACTGAAAGTGCTTAGTTTTACAGTTTCAATGTCTATGAAACTGTTGAGATTGAATTTTTTCAGCCAATGCAGTATCATTTCAACAAATATGTTTTGGTTCTTATCATATACAAGTTACTGTTTTGGAACTCTGTGGGACGTAATGATACAAAAGGAAGGCAGAGTCCCGTTTCCGTAGTGTAGTGGTTATCACGTTCACCTCACAAAAGGAAGGCAGAATAGCTCACTTGTGAAGAGTTGGTGCTCTGAAGTCAGACAGGCCTGGTTTAAAATCTTAGCTCCATCATTTATTAGCTATGAGGCCTTAGGAAAGTTATTTAATTTAACCCTTCTAAGATTCAGTTTCCACATCTCTAAAATGGCTGAAGTAATAGTATCTACCTCAAAGGGTTTGGGGGAATATTAAGTAATAATAAAATATGTGCAGTACTGGCACAAAAGAAGCAAATATTAGGGCTGCTATTATTACTATTATGTCCTCAAGTAATTTACAATCTCATTGAAGAGCTCCTACGAACATGTACTCGTAGGTACTTCTCCTGGCTGAAGAACAAGTAAACTAAATCCCTCCCTTTTGTTTAATCCATAACTAGCAAAAAGGCAAATATGTGTATCATATGTAAAAAGTATGATTTCGATTTCTCAAACTGTTAATACTCTCTTTTTTCATCAGCTCAAATATATATAAAATAACACTTCTATTCGAGATCTTTTATTGGGCTATCCAGAAGCATGGATAATACAGCTGGATCCTATTTGTCTGCTCTATATTAACAAGTTAAAGGAAAGGGATGGCAATCAAAGTGCAAGAAATTTTATAGAGAACTTTTTCCCTTTGTCTTTGTTTTTAAATATTTGAAGTTCTACTTTATCATACACAGTCATTTCATATTAAGATTATAAGGTAATAATTTAGAAATTCTAAGATAATAAAGTTTCCACTTATATTTGAAAGTCTTTACCAGGAATACCTTATAGCACACCTTTCTGTATGCCAATATTAAGATTTTTTACCTGATAACAAAAGGATGAAAACACAAAATTATTAGTCAATCATGGGTCCATTACTTGTGTCCTAGACTCAAGCAAAGGCAAAAGGTAGATAAAGTTGAATTAGCAATTATAATCACACAAACAAGAGGCAATGCTACTGAATTTACGAGTTCTGAATCCTAAGTGTCCACTTCCTCTCCCTTCCTCTGTGGCTTTCTCTGGCTGTTATATACTACTATATTTGGAGTTTCAATTATTCCCCTTTCGTTAACAGTGCACATGTTTAGAAGGTTTTGCCCAATGACTGAGGAGGCAGCAGCTTGCTGATGCTTTTTAACTGGTGCTGTAACTCCTTCCAGCTTTTCTGATGATGCCTTAAATCAGCATGAATAATATTTTAAATTAATCACTATGACTATAGTATTTGTGTCCTCTGGAAGTTAAATGTTACTGGAAGAGTGAAGTCCCTAATGCCCAATTTTAAAAGATCTGCAGTGCAGAGAATGACAGCCCTGGAATCTGGGGTTGGGAGGAGGGAGTGATGGAAAAACAGAGAAGATGGAGCTAGAAAGAAAACAAAAAGCTAAAAATGAAACCTTTACTGATTAATAATTTTACTTGTAGGTCAACCCCTAAAAGCAAACAATAAAAAGTGCTGATCTAAGGGGCCAATGATTAACAATTTTATGGGTTCAGTCCCATTAACTTTTGCAGAAGTTTATCATGTCGGCAAGTATAAACTTTATTCTTTTAATGAAGACATGCAAGTAGAATGGGTATTAAGCTTCCACAAATACAACAGAATTTGCTGAGAGGGCTGTGACGGGCTCCTGTGAGCATATTTCCATTGGTGTTCAAAGGGGAAAAGGGAAGGGGGTTATCAAGAGGCAAGATTCATCACAAGAGTAAACAGAAGGATCCTGTGATATGAATAGGAGGCAAACTGGAAGCTAGTCTAAATATACATCATAGACACTGAACTAATCTTGCTATTTATTAGAAAAGGAAGCAAGTACTGCATTCAGAAGAAAATGTACAGAGTTAGGTGTCCAAGCTGTGAGGGGAAATAGCCTGTAGCACTATCTTGGACAGTTCTTCACTGTAAATGAACCTCTGCTTCTTCATCTGAAAAATGGAAATTATTATACGTATCTCACAAATGTGTTATGAGACTCAAATAAGATAATGTATTTAATGCACCCAAGTATTGTACTACCTCTTAAAACAAATTAAAGAAATCACAGCTAAGATCTGGAAGGTGATATAATGGAAAGAGGCCAATGTTTACAAGGAAAAGACTTGTCTATTAATCACATTTTACCATTTATTAGTTCTATAACCTTGGGAAAATTATTTAAATTCCCGGCACCTCAGTTTCCTCATCTGTATAAATGGGGACTATTTATACATTGCATTAAGTTGTTGTGAGCATAAAGTTATGTAAGTAATATGTCTGACAGCGTCTGGTACGTTGTAATTGCTATTATTATTAGGAGAATGATTACTAATAATGAATGTCTGTAATCTAAGAGTAGGAAGCAATAATTTCCATGGAAACAGAATAAACACGAGGCACTATTTTTTTTTCCTTTTCATGGCCATGTCTAAATCTTAAAATTGCTCAGAAGTCTTCATATTTAAGGTTGACAATCTGGTACATGAAATTCTCACTACTTTTGCCAAGACCCCACCAAATCAAATCTAGCACAAACTACAAAGGGTTAGGCTGTCCTCGTTCTCATAAATGTCAGCCAGCAACAGTAAAATAATAGATCTAATGTTTATGCAAATGTAAATGAGATTTAAAAAATTAACTCCAAAAAACCACACAAACATACTGTTTAGAGTTTTAAATCATACTATCTTTTGATGGTTGCTATATGTTTTCTCTTTTATTACATTCCTTTTACTTCTTTTGAGAAATCTCAAAGAAAAAAGCAATAATGGATAGGTGGGGAAAATATTAAAAAATCTAAACTCGTAATTGATATAATCTTGTAAGTAATTATTCTTAGTCATAAGAAATCACCATAGAATGTCTTTAGTCTGTTCTCGGGAGGCATTTGGAAGTGTGTAATTAAAACACACTCGATTTGGGGGTGCCTGGGTGGCTCAGTCACTAAGCGTCTGCCTTCGGCTCAGGTCGTGATCCCAGGGTCCTGGGATCGAGCCCCGCATCGGGCTCCCTGCTCCGCGGGAAGCCTGCTTCTCCCTCTCCCACTCCCCCTGCTCTCGCTATCTCTCTCCCCATCAAATAAATAAAATCTTAAAAAAATAATAATAATAAAACACACTAGATTTTCATACAACTTTCATCCACTACATAAAGTACACCTATGGTAGCGGGACTGCCAGACTTTAATTAGGAGAGTAATAAAGGGTTATGGTTTTTGCTTATCTGAAAGATTTCTAAGAAAGGCTGAAAAGGAAATTTAACATTTACTACCTATGTCAGAGAAAAGAAACACAGTAAGTGTTATACATTACACACTATTTCCTCAGAGATCATATCCCCAGCAACTCAATCACCTATACCATAACTGTGGACTCTTAAGAAAGGAAAAAGACCTTGGGCTCCTAAAAGAAAGAACTCAAAATGAAGGTACTTAACTTATCCAAGATTCTTGACTGTCGATTTTACCCTTACTTTATTTACAGCTTTAATCAACCTCAGCTCTTTTATTTTCTAGTTCACATAAGATTAGAGAAAGGAAGGATGGAATGAAAATAGTAGTAGTTAGGGATAGCCAAAATAATAGTACTATAAAGTTATACCCATTAGGTAAGGAAAAACAAAAAGGAATAATTATTAGAAGGCTGACTGGGGCTTTTCAGCAAAGGAGCACAAAAACTACATCAAAACTGATGTACCCAGATGATGCTTACATAGCTAAGTGCTACTTGGGATAGAAGAGATACATATGATTAATTTTATTCCTATCTAAAAAAGAGAATAAAATAAAAGATTTTATTCTTAAAGTCGGAAAGCTTCAACAATCTTGAAAAACTATCAACTGTATCCCCAACGATGTTGGCTAATGAAACACAACCGGTTTTCGACCTTACCTCCTCAATAGTATTTATTAAAATAAATGTAGTGAAAATCCCATCTCTAATGCATTTATAACAATTTCCCTATATCCAACTCAATATTTCCCCTTTTTTAAAGATTTATTTATTTATTTTAGAAAGACAGAGAGCATGAGCGGGAGAGGCAGAGGGAAAGGGAGAGAAAATTTCAAGCAGACTCTGCGCTGAGCACAGAGCCCGATATGGGGCTCCATCTCACAACCCCAAGATCACAACCTGAGCTGAAGCCAACTTGGACGCTCAACCAACTGTGCCACCCAGGCACCCCCAACTCAATACTTTCTTACATTAGTTTCCCTTCTCCTAACAATCAGCTGAACTTCTAATACTGAAGTATGGTAATCTTGGGCAGTTAGATACAGCTAGCCAGCAAAATAAGAATTTTGCAAACACTCACTGGGTGATGGCTCTTCGTAGGTGAACTTGTTCAGCTAATAATTCAGAGCAAGCGCTGGTATGCTTACCATATAAAATAGTTATTTAAAGATGCTTTAAATAACTAATCTTTGCTTAATACATGCAATGCAAATAAACTTGATCTTCCCAACTTTCTTTCCAAATATCAAAAAGTATATATCCTATAAAAAGACACTAAAAGACATATTTAAAAACATCACTTACCTCATCACTTTCAGGCTGTGAAAACACAATCGGCTGGCCTGTATCTGAAGTTTCCCTTATATTAAGATGTAAGGGAATGTCTCCTAAAAGAGTCCACCAGACATCCATTAATACTACAAAAGTTTATATAGACATTTGGAATTTCACTATTTGAACTTTGGAAAAAAAAACCCAAAATTTAAATTAAATTCATTAAACTCAACTTGAACTATGACTATCCTCAAGTTGCTAAATCTCTAAAAAAGGAATTTCAAATGAAAATTAGGGGCAACATATTCCATTTGAGGGTAGTTCAGGGATTGTATATGTATATATGAAAGCTATGTGGCAGCCAATCAAGGGATAAGGCCTCTGATTTATTCGTTGCTGGAGGTCTTCCAGCAAGAAATGGCTTGGAAGACATTTGTAAAATTATTTTTCCCTGTAATATCTGATATAGACACATCATACCAAACAATAAGAGGAAAATGAAGAGGAAAAGATGGGGAGACAAAGTCGTCCAAAAAAAGTATAACAAAATTACCTTCCTGATGTTGGCAGATGAGTGAGCTAATAACTGCTGAAAAGTAAGGCAGATCTGTTATCTCCACTACCTGCCTCTTTATCCAATGGAAGTATTTTTCTTTTATCATGTATCAATCTATATAGCATTATATATAACTTGTGAACTTGATGAGATCTCAGGAAGTATATAAGAACCTCCACAATACAGTCCTGAGGTTGAAAAGGTTGTGTGTCTTTCCTGAGGATATGTTACTATTAGGTAGTAGAATTTAGGGGGAAAATGCTCTGATCCATCATCCAATTGACTCCACAACCCCTTCACAAATGAAGCCTTTCAAAAGGTTTGGACTTAAAATGCAGTAAATGGAGCCGTAAGTAGAAAAGCTGACTCGTCATGGTAAAGCATTCTTAGAACTACTCCAAATCCATGCAAGGGTTACTGAAATGTGTGTGTGTGTGTATGTTTATATAAATAAGTCAGTCAGCACCATGCCAGGCTAAAGCAGAAGTATATGTTACAAAATTACAAATCTATTATAAGTTATATTATAAAGTACGTAGAGGAACATATTTCATTCTCCTCTTGTCAGCAAATTTGGGAATCTTAATCAACTCTTTAAATCTTTCCTAAGTGTTCAATAGCCAATGACAAAATACCTGAATATTTTAGTAGTCATTTAAAGATCAGCTTTTCAGTAAATTTGATGTCTAGTCTATAGATCAACTTAAGACTGTAAGAAACTGTCACAGGGGTAAGGGAAAATATGTTAAAGAAAATTCTTAGAAACCCATAAAGCTTTTTCCTTGATTTATGCCATTATAGTAAGGAATCTTGAATGCTTTCATTTCTACTGCAGTAATGGAAGAAAAAAAAAAGCAAAACCTTCTCCTTTATATAGTCACCTATCAATATAGTTTCTGCCTTCTAGAGACTCATAATTCTATCTGTAAACACAGAAGAGTTGATAAAGAAAGAGGAAAACTTTTTTAGAAAATAGGTGGCACACCATAGTGAGAGTGGTAATGGGCTAACAGCTGTATATCAGAGAAGGATAAAAAGGAGTAATGGTATGGAGAGTGGGTAAAGTGCAGCCTGGCCTTGAAAAGTATCTTTGAGGGGTGCCTGGGTGGCTCAGTCATTAAAAACATCTGCCTTCGGCTCAGGTCATGATCCTAGGTTCCTAGGATCGAGCCCCACATTAGGCTCCCTGCTCGGCCAGGAGCCTGCTTCTCCCTCTCCCGCTCCCCCTGCTTGTGTTCCCTCCCTCACTGTCTTTCTCTCTGTCAAATAAATAAATAAAAATTAAAAAAAAAAAAGTATCTCTGAGGGACATAATGACTATGCATAATCTGTCCTTGTAGGTAATATGGGGCAAGTTCTGAGAGCTATTTTACCAAATAATTTTTTAAGTGTAGCCCAATGGATGAAAATAAATTAAGAGGCAGCCAGGGAGTCAGTAAAGGACATATAGGGTTCCTGGGGAGTTCAACCAGCTAGCCAGGAGGCCATAACTGGGAGAGCTCTTACCCTGATTTCAGTTCCTCCTTCCTGACTCCAACCTCTTTGTTAATGGAGCCCCTGTTCCAGATCATGGGAGGTCTCACTGGGCCCCATGACTACATTAAAAGGAAGAGATGTGCCCTGAGTTGGAACTCTGAATTATTTTTCCCAGAACACTGTTAGATACAACAATCTATAAGCACTATCCTTTTTTTTTTTTTTTTTTGTGATCAGTAATCAGTGTTTCTGACACATTTTTAGGGTAACTAAACATTTCTGAGCTGTTGAGTAAAATGTAACTTCCATATGTGAGATTGTTTCCTATGAGATATATTTCATATTCAAAATAAGTGATTTACAATATCGTACCACCAATTTATAAATCAGGGAATTATAATATTGTCAGCATAATTCAATAATGCCATTATAATTACACATTTACTTTATTATATAAGTGAATGTCAATCTGTTGTTATTATGCAGATTTGGGAAACTGAACTTTCTAGGTTAGTTAAATAAGAAACAGTTGCAGAATATAATTAGTGGTTAGAATTATAGCAATGTATCAAAATATACCATTAGTATTCACCTGGTACTGCGGTGGCTGCTATAGTGCAAATGCATAATAACAATAACGCATTTAACATCAACTTTTAGAAATTTAATTATGATAAAGAATGTTTTGAAATTCCTTGATCTCTAAGGGATCTTAATTGTTAACTACCTAAAACTAATAATTCACTCTATTCCTCCCTTATTCAGCATCTAACATCTGCCTTTGCCCAGAACAGAAACTCATTCAAAAGGAAAATATCAACACATTTCCTAAAATGTCCATTAAGTTGCCTGTGGATTTTTCAAAAATTATGTTTTATCTAAAATCTGTGTTTTGTTCACTTAACACATTATTTACTTCTCATAACACTAATTAATCCTTCAATTCAGTAACGTGAACAGTATATACAATGTGCATTTCAGGTGCCATATCTCAGAGACATGGCAAAAACATATGAAAAGATTACAGAAGACAGAAAATATTATCTTTCTAGAGCAAAAGGACTGATAAATTGAGAACTTGTCAGGAAGGCATTTTTTTCATATGCACCAAGAACTGACACTTCCAAAGGTTGCTACAACACACTACCCAGGTGTTTTCACATACCTGTTTATACTGAGAGATGTGTCCCCTTAGCAAACAAACTGATGACCATTATTTAAAATAAGGACTTCAAATTACAGCACCCAGACCATGAAACTCTTCTCAAATTCAAATTGCAGGCAGTTTTTACCCGCAGCAAAAGTTATAATCGGCAGAACAAACCTCCTCTTCAAAAAGCCTTCCACTAATGAAGTATTATAAAAAGCAAAGGAAGGTTAACACATACAACTCCCTACTATCTTAATTTAAAGCACAAAACTGAAGACAATTCATCATTTTCTGAGACACTCTTCATCACCACACCTTATCCTCACCTTCCCTTCTGCCATTTTCTCTGCAAAAGAATATCCTATGATCTTACCTAGAACATCAAGATCAAGGGTCCGTGCTAGTCTTCTTGCACCATCAGCACCAAAAATATGAGTTCTATGTTTACATTTTGGACACTGGAAAACACTCATATTTTGGACAAGGCCCAGGACCTAGAATAACAAAAACCATTAAAATTAAAACAAAATTAAACCAAATCTCAATCCATTATTTCAACAAGTTTTTACTCAGTGCCCACTGGGTTCTAGTGATACAGTGATGAATAAGTTATGGTCTCTGCTTTAAAGGGAACTCACAAGCTAGTGGGAGAGCAAAACACATATAATTAATAATGTGATAAATGCTAAAGATAAAGAAATGACTGGGATAAAAAAATTCTGTCTGGGAAGACTAAGAGGTATCTCTGAGCTGCCCACATTACCCAAAATTGTTTCTTCCCAACTGGAAGGGTAAGAAGGGTTGAGGCACACAAGCCAAGATAGTGAAATACTGCACATGGCCTTTTTGGGCTGCACGCCAATGGAGGGCAAAGGCAGAAGCTGGTTTAATAAGGGAGGTCAGAGTCTGATGGCAAGGTGCTAAATGCCACTGATGACTTTCTTCTTGTGACAACAGAAAACCACAAAAGATTTTTAAAGTTGAAAAGATGGTCCCATAAAAGGTTTTTCAAGTTGAAAAGATGGTCCCAAGAGGTAATGTTACACAATCAGATCTGTGTTTTAGAAATTTAGCTCTGATAGCAATACAGAAAAAATAAGCAGAAAGAAACACAGGAAAATAAATGGAAAAGAGGCTATTGTGAACGAAGCCTCATAGTAAATGACAGCTAACAAATATTGAGTGCTTATTATATACCAGGCACTGGGGTGAGTGTTTTAGATGAACTACCTTATTTACTCCTATCAAAAACTTTACGAGATGGGTATTTTATATCCCCGTTCCATAGCTGAGAAAAAGAACACAGCCAGCAAAAGACGAAAACTCAGCTCTTACCAGAATGTTATCATTTCAAACAAAAATTTAAAGTCTTATAGAAAGTGTCCATCTCTGAGTTTCCCCAGCTTCTGGCACAAAATAGATACTTTATAAACATGTGCTAAATAAATAGACAGGCTCTGCAAATATAATCCTTATTCACGTTTCTTTTAATCCCATTTTCTTATTAGTGAAAAGCAGTGCATCTCTTCTAGAATAAAAATAAGGAACACAATTATCAAAGGCTTAGAGAAAACATGTCTATATCATCCTATCAACTCTACCAAAAAGATCATCATTATAGGAGATATCTCTAATAGAATATTTGCATTTTAAATGAAGAATAGCACTGACAAGCCACGATGAACCATATAGACAAGAAGGTGATGAAATTTCTTATTCTTTCTGAAAAGAGAAACAGAACAGACTAAAGTTTCCCAGAACATATGCAAATGAAGACAAATTGTGAGGGACATAAATCTGTAGCTAAGCATTTTCCAAGCATTTAATATATGCTCTTTTGTTGATGCAAAGTATTATACAAAATAAATCATATTGTACTTTGGTAATTCAATACCATCCCCACAAAGCCAGAAGAAAACATAGCTAAAGATCACACACCTTATTTGTTTATTCAGTATGCCTGTATCACTAAAGAATGAATGGGTCAACCAGGAAATTAAAGAAGAATTTAAAAAATTCATGGAAACAAATGAAAATGAAAACACAACTGTTCAAAATCTTTGGGATGCAGTATGTCTATATCACACACCCACTGCTTGAGCAGTTTTACTGCCATTTACGTTAAATGTGATATATTCCCTCACTATAGAGCTTTCAACTTAAGCATAAAAATATCACTCAAGAAATGGGAAAAGGAAAAACACTTAAATATTGTGAAAATCTAGGTGAGGGTATATTCTAATCCAGAGAGAACAGGAAAAGCATCCTTACTCCAGAATCTCTTGGACTCCCCAAGACATAGGAAGGTATAGAGCATGTAATCACTTACATCATTAACTTATTATCAATATCTAAATGTCTCAGACATGTTCCCTATATAGACTACAAAATGTCATAAACATAAAACCGTAAGCAAACTCAATATTTAATGAGCGCCTATTATATGCCAGTAACTGAGCTAAACAAAAGGAGTAGCATACAGTGGTAAGCAAAAGAGACTTGATCTTTGCCCTCCTGGAGATTGCATGCTAATTAGAGAAATGGATGGGAACAATTAATAGTACAAAAATCTACTTTAAAGATGGAAGAGCTTCTCTGGAAGCAAAACACAGAGGATTATGAGTGTAGAACAGAGAGAACTACATCTACCCTGGGAGTCACAGAGGAGTTCCTTGAGGAAATATGTGACCTAAAAGTTAAAGAATAAGCAAGTAAAAACAAAGAGAAAAGGAGGGAAAACTCTCAAGGAAGAAGTAGGGAGCACAAGTCTCCTTCAAGGAATTGAAAGGCCAGCATGGCTGAGGTATGGTGTGAGTGGTGTGAGACTTTTCTAGCAGGACACAAAGCACTAAACATAAATAAAAAAGTATTTTGTTAAACTGACTATATCAAAGTTAATAACGTAATTGGAAGACACAATTAAGAGAGTGAAAAGGCAAGCTATAAAGCAGGAGATGGGATTTATAATACACATCCCTAACAAAGGGCTTTTATCTGGAATATATAAAGAACTCTACAAACTAACAAAAGAACATCAGAAATTTAAAAATGGGCAAGACTTAACAGGCACTCCTTAAAAGAGGGTATCAAAGACCAACAAACTTGAGAAAAAGTTTTCAACTTCACTAATCATCAGAGAAATGCAAATTAGAACCACAATGAGATACCACACATTTATGCCTAAGATCTGATTAGAACAGATAAATGTCTATACGACGATGACAAAAACAACAACAACAAATACCAAATCTTGGTGAGGACAAAGAGCAAGTAAAACTCAGTTTCAGCTAAGTGTAAACTGGTACAACCATTTTAAACTGGTACAACCATTTTGGAAAACTGGAAAATTTTTTATTTAAATTCAATTTAATTAACATATACTGTATTATTAGTTTCAGAGGTAGAATTTAGTGATTCATCAGTTGTAACACTCAGTGCTCATTACTTCTTCAAGTGCCCTCCTTAATGTCCATCACCCAGTTACCCCATCCCCCCCACCCCCTCCCCTCCAGCAACCCTGAGTTTGTTTCCTATAGTTAAGTCTCTCATGGTTTGTCTCCCTCTCTGATTTCATCATTTTACTTTTTCCTCTCTTCCCCTATGATCCCCTATGATCTGTTTTATTTCTTAAATTCCACATGAGTGAGATCATATGATAATTGTCTTTCTCTGACTGACTTATTTTGCTTAGCATAATAGCCTCTAGTTCCATCCATATCATTGCAAGTCACCAGTCGCTTTTATTTTAACAAGTGTGATGAGCGTGTAGTGGTATCTCATTGTGTTGGACTATTCAAATCGTTAATCTCTTTATACTGAGAACTATATTTCCTAGACTCTTCCTTCCTTTATGGCTCCTCATTAAAGTTCCCTAAAAGTAAAGTGACATGAGTTTTGGGAGGTGGAAGTGAAGCCATAGGCATTACTCTCTATAGTTTCCTTTGGCAAGAGGTAGGGAAAGAAATTTGCAGGAGTGTAGGTGTATTCTAGTTTGTCCTCCTTCTTCCTGACACTGGGCCCATCCTCTGTACTGTGGCTTTAATTTGCATTGCCATAATTATTTATTAAAGTTAAGGTCATCTGTTGGGTGCCTGGGTGGCTCAGTTGGTTAAGCGACTGCCTTCGGCTTGGGTCATGATCCCAGAGTCCCAGGATCAAGTTCCACGTCAGGGTCCCTGCTCAGCGGGGAGTTTGCTTCTCCCTCTGACCCTACCCCCCCTCTTGGGCTCTCTCTCTCACTCTCTCTCTCAAATAAATAAAATCTTTAAAAATTATAAAGTTAAGGTCATCTTTTTTTTTTTCTACATTTTAAAATATGGCTACTAAAACTTCTTAAATCACATTTGTGACTTGCATTACATTTCCATTGGACAGCACTGTTGTAGACAACTGAAGAGTGACCATAGAACTGACTTTGGTAGTTCTCCTATTTAATGTTGTTTCAAGGTCCTAAAAGATGCACAAGAACATTTATAAGGGCCAGTGATTTAGGAGTACTTTAAAAATTGAAGAAACATGAAACACTTACCTTCAAGACTATATAGGAAAGATAAACTGTCAAGTTTCTTTGCTTTTAACTGAAATTACATCAACTGAGTGTGATAACACACAGATTAGAAAGAGAAAACAAATTACTTATTAAGATATGCAGAGTATGTGGCAGACAACTTTTTCAAACCACAGGGTTAGCTGGAAGAAAATTCAGAAGAGAACCTTGAGTATTAAAAAGATTAGAAAACACTATTCTAGTTTTTAAGAGTAGTGTTCCATAATCAATGAGTTTTGAATAGGAGCAGTTAATATAATAAGAAAGAACACTAGAATATCCATGTGACAATTTTATTCATAAAAATTCTCTTAAGGGGCGCCTGGGTGGCTCAGTCGTTAAGCGTCTGCCTTCGGCTCGGGTCATGGTCCCAGGGTCCTGGGATCGAGCCCCGCATCGGGCTCCCTGCTCCGCGGGAAGCCTGCTTCTCCCTCTCCCACTCCCGCTGCTTGTGTTCCCTCTCTCACTGTCTCTCTCGCTGTCAAATAAATAAAAAATCTTAAAAAAAAAAAAAATTCTCTTAAATAGGAGAGTTCATGTCCACGTGACCATCTCCTACTGTCCTCCCCCAAATGCCTTATATTGTGTGAATACTTTATGTGTTGTTAAGCTGTTTATTATAGAGCTATTTTGTATATCTTTGACAGCAGAAACATTAGAAAACAGATGCTTTGCCAGAGCTTAATTTACATAATACCACTGAGATGCAGCTGTAGGCATGCTCAATCATTTTTTAATGTCTCATCAAAATATAAGATCCTTTTTTGTGTCAACTAGACTCAAATAAAAAAAATTTTAAGAGGAAAAAATGTTTAAGATCCTTATCTCTTTTTACCTCAGCTAATTTTACTGAAAGAAAGTAAATGCTACATGTTTGCTTAACATCAGCCACCACAAACATTTTACGTGTTATTTTTACATTATTCCAATCCATCATTGGCTCAGAAG